CCAGTTGAAAGTATATGTATATAAACATACATACTCTTGGTGGATGTTACACCCTTCTCCCCTCAACAGACAACAAGAAGGGGCGTCTCGTGATGATCATCTCCCCATCGCCTCTTTTGCTGTCGCTGGTTTTACAGTCGGCAAACCCGCTGCTGCTGTTGCTACTTTTCTCAGATGCTTTACTGTTGATGCCGTTGCTGCTGCTGCTGATGATGCTGATGCTGATGCTGTTGCTGTTGCTGTTGCTTTACTTTTACGATATCCCGTCGTGTCTCCTTCGAAATTCTCAAGACAGCTTGCCAACTAAACCTGATTAACCGCGCCAACATGATTTTACCACTTTAAATCTTGGGCTGGTTGGATATTACCTGAGACACAAGTTTTAAAGAATTAAAAATAGATAGTAACGGTTAAATAAAATTAACGAAAGTAATATTTAATATTAATTCCTGTGTTTAACAAAATTTAAGTGGAAAATATGATGACTAGGCTGTATTTGCCTTATTCATTGGTTAATTTTTTTTCTTCTTTTGCCTTTTTTTCTCCATCTTCTTCCATTAAATTCTTATTTATTATTATTATTATATATATATATATATATTTTTTTAGTCTTTTTTGGGCAGTCAGCAGTCGGCAGTTTTTATTCCCATGGACTTTGTAACAATGACGTTTGAGAGTGACGAAAATTCGCCTTGAAGATTCAGAGAGCCGCTGGGTGAACTCAAGTATACCGTGTGTTCGTACGTGGAATAAATATGGGCTTGGGTTTCTCTTACTGACGTCGACACACCAGCCTCGTTGTCTGCTAACGTTGATTTGAGAGTAAAGAAAAAATATAAAAGTATATATATATATATATATATATAATAGAAGAATATATGTAACCTGGTAAGTGTGGAGCTACGACGACGAATAACCAAGTAATGATTATATATTATACATATACATATATGTATGTATTGTAGGGGTATACATTGGCTCGTTAGGTAGCCGTACAGTTCCAACGAGAGTTGTCTCTTGAACGTGCAAGATGGATTTCTTCGTGCGTGCGGTCGCGGTTGGTACATACAATCAGTGCATGTACGTGTACATGTATTTGTATTTATATGTTTATATGTTTGTATGTATTATAAGATAGAGAAAGAGCCATTACATTGTATGTACCGAGAGAAAGAAAATCCGGCTGGCATTATAATAAATTACATATACGGCTCCGCACGATCGCGCATGCGATTAAAGATTCTTCCTTTAACTTCTCTTTTTATATTCTTATTCTTCTTTTCTTCTGGTTGGTTTTGTAACTTGTAAGACGATACGCGGATACAAGCGCGTACTCTACGTAAATTCAAACGTTATATACATGTCCTTTCAGAGGTAACTTGTATCGAAACTCCAGCATCCATTCTTGCATACAGCATCCAAGAAAGAAGAAGAAAGAGACGAAGAAAGAGATGCCCGGAGACGCCGAAGAAGATAACTATAAAAGAGGTTTTTGTAGAAAAAATCCGAGGGTCACCGACGTCGACGATCGACGGTCGACATGGAGAATATTGAGCTGGAAAATCCCCTTAGACGGTTGTCGTCGTTATCTTGCTCAGCAGCAGAAGGTATCTTTAAGTTTAAAACGGGCTCACTGCTGGATATATCTCAGGTAACCCGTATTTCAGAGTTTAACATACTTTGAACTCAATACACAGTCGAGTAAGGCAAGGCGTGAGTGGTTTATATTATCGAAGTAAAAGTATCGAGGATACATCAGCGGGACCAAGACTAGAAGACTACGTGGCAGAGATAAATACCAGGGAAGTATAGTGGCGCCTGTATTATATACTTCTCTCTGCCGAGCTTAGATCTCTATGTGGCCCCGTGCGATCCATCGATCTATCTATATACTTTTTAAGTACAGAGTAGAAGGTAGAGGATAGAGGACAGAAGACAGAAGATAGAGGAGAACCAGAAGGTCCTGGATCCCATGTTTAAGATTATAATGCACGCTCTTCTTTATACATATCTACTCGGTCATGTTGTTGGCTCTACGCTGTATTCTCAGTGACGGTGAGACACGAGTCTCGTTTGAGATACAGATGAGGCTCAAGCTCCGGGTTGGCAACAATGGAGTAGCAGGTTGCTTCATCAAAAGACCCTTTTTTTACTCTCCTTTCATCTCGTCTCTATAATTATTATTATTATTATTATTATTATTCATCTTATATTCTTCTTGGTTTTATTAATCTTCTTACTCTGGCTTTTCTTTCTTCTATTATTTCTGTGGGCAAAAGTATGTATAAATATGATCCCGCAATTGTGCATAATAACAAAAAAAATAAGATAAAATAAAAAAATAAAACAAACCAAATTGACATATTTAAAAATATATCGTATGTGTGATATCCTGGTGAATGATTGTAGACTCAAAGAATCTTACGGGCAAGCGTTAAAAAATTGTGGCTCACGGATCTTGCAGAGATGTGTCCGAGATAATCCAAGAGAATATTCGAGGAGGCACCCCAATGGGTCCTATTAGGCCGAACGCCGGTTGGGCCCAGTCGGTGGGTCCAGTTGAGGGGGCGGGGTATAGTACTAAGGCCGGTCAAGCCACATTCCGTTGGCCAGCAACCGACTCCATGCCATGAAGAAACCCCCTTCGCTCTTTCTACTCTCTCTACACTGCCCTGCAGACGTTTTCACCGTCCACATACAAATATATAAAATAATAATAATAATAATATATACATCCACAAATACAGATACTTTTACACGTATCTCGCTTTAACCCGTTCAGTCCCACGTTATTTCTTCTCGCTTAACTCAAAACTCATGGTTAAGAGTATCGGTTCTCCTTTTATTTAACCGTCCGACCACCGCGAATATATACGCTACGTGGCTCCAATATTATTTCAACTTGGCTGACCTTGACGCAGCAATAGGTGAATAACTATCTTATTTTATATTTCTTCTTATTATTCTACTTTTTGTATAAATATTTAATTGCTCTGCGTATTACATTATAATGTAATTAATCAACAAAACCGATGAAACAAAGTTCCAACTAACTGAAGAAAGAGATGACGAAGATGATCTAGAATTTCCCACGCATCCTTTGTGTCTGTATAACGAGTTTAATCCCTTGTTTATAATTTTTTAGGAGTGATTCCATGTAATATCTACCACGAAGTACTCTGCTCCGGAGAGACGATCGTGGATCTCATCCCGAGGCTTTTCCCATCAAATAGCCAGAGTACCCATATATTAAGAGTCGTATCGAAGAGTTAGGTACGAATTATGATGCAAAGAAGCGATCGCTCGGAGTTCTTTCCAACGAAATGGCTCGTGCCAATCTATAATATATAACCAATTTTATATATACTAATACTACGCTCTATACCTATATATTTATATGTTTAATATGTGTAGACATCTAGGATCTTGGCAATGTAAATGTCTCCCCTTGGCAATGTACTTGTGGATCTTTGGACTTGGATGCTCGGGAATCCCGGAGCCGAAGCTTCGAGAGTAGTCTCTGGATGTAGCCAAGAATAAAAAGAGAAGCCGGTTCAGTCGCCCACGCTTGCCCATAAAAGTTGGCTTTGAAATCAGCCTCCCAGCCTCCGCTCCACCGTCTCACCTTTCCCCTTAACTTGGATACCTTCCTGCTTCACCTTCAGATTAAAAGCTAAAGCTCTCTCTCTTATTATTTCATCCACCTCCACACTCTGTTAAATCCTTAGCTAAGATCTTTCGTCTTCTCATTTTGCCTCGAGTACTGCCACCTTCCCACTTGTTTTCCTTTTTTTAATTCTTATTTTTATTATCATTATCATTCTATTCTTATTACTCTTTTTCATTTTTATATTCATTATTATTTTTATTATTCCTCTGCTTCTTTATATTATTATTCTTAAAGACTGCTTCAAATAACCACCTTGACGTTATTACGTGTATTTTCTAACCAATGGCTTTGAATTTCGGACCCTGAGAGTTAAAATCATTCGTCCAGGTGAAGCCAGAGGAAGCGGTAGGAGATGAAGCCACCTAAAAAAATTACCAATAAAATAAAAAAAAAAAAAAAAAAAAAAAAATAAGCGTAAACTTAAATGTGATATTTCAAAGGCACAAGAACTTACTCATTTTACTTTTTATTCTTCTTCTTGTTCTTGATCCTCGTGTGTGCCAAACCAGTGAAGGGGGTGGTGTAAGCGCGAGGGACCGCGGGGCAACCACGCCAAGCCAAGTGACCGGATGGCCTTGGTTTCGTCGAGACTCGGTTAGTTACCGCTTGCCCCAACTCTATAACTGTCCCGCCTTCGTGGAACAAGGTGGTATCTCCAATTTCGACCGCTTTTTAAGTTGACGCTCCACCGATCCAAGGCGTGGTGAACACTAAAAATCGATCTTACACTCTACCTTAGCTCTGTCTTAGTTGTTGTCGTCGTCATTACTTTCAGGTCTTAATTAAATTATTACATTACCTTTTAAATAATAAATATTTATTGTTATAATTATTATAAATTAAAAAAAAAAAAATTCAACAGCTAATACTTAATATTAAAATTTATTAATATATTTTGATTAATAAATAGCCAGCCGACTAAAAGATTGAGGATAAATTTATGATAGTTGATTGATAAAAACAGCAGCACGTTTTATTGTCGCGTGTACATTGCTGGAATTTACTGGTGGTTTTTTTCATACCCTGACGTAGACATCGCTGTAGATGTATTTATGTAAATTGTACTCTTATTCCAATTTATCCATGCACGAAGGATAAATTAGCGTCTCTTATGAGAGCAGGGAAACGAGTCGACGGGTCAGAGAACTATTTTTTTTATTGCCCTTCTTTAATCTTCCTCTTCACCTTTTCTTCTCTCAAACATTAACTTGAGCTCTACAACTCATTTATTTCTCCCACGACATTGTTATATATACAACGAGAGCAAGACACGTTTCTTCATCAACCTTACCAGCATCTTCTCTATGGGTACCAGCGCATTTATTTTATTTCAAACTCTTATGTGAAAAGTAGACAAAAAATCCGAAGCTTTAGCAACGACATTCTCAAACTCGAGATAAGACAATGCGCCATCCCCGTCAATATCACATTCTTCGAGGATTTTTTTACAAACTGTACCTACTTCTTCCTCGTTCAATCCATCCTGGACCAGTTGCCGACACGTACGTTCTAAATCACTCATGCCCACGAATCCGTCTTCATCAAAATCTGTAAACAAAAATAAAAATAATAATAATAATAATCTGTAATGTAGCAAGACTTATAAGGTAATCAACAATAAATAAACCGATTAGATGAAAAAGGCAAGTTATAATAAATGTAAATAAAATAATTTTAGTCATTGGTCACTCAAGAAGCGGAAGGGAATGGCTCTACGGTAATTTACTTTATCTCATTATCATTATCTATCTACATTCTACATGAAGGATAGCTGCCACTAAATACACCCACGTAAGAGAGTCTTGTATGCAGGATTGTGACCTAGAACTTGCCGTTCGCTTCCCACAGTTGGGGGTCTATAGTCTCTAGCATTTCTAAAGTCTCTCTATACATATATATTTAATATCTAGACAAAACGGCTTACCGTAAATCTTAAAAGCATAAAATACTTTGAGATCTCGAGGTGCTTGCTCTGAAAATACTGACATCATCTCCAAGAACTCCTCGAAACAGATACCTTCTTCTTCTTCTTCATTTTGTTCACTTCCTGGATCACTGCACTTGGTAAATACCTCTGCTATACGATCTCGAAATGGATTTTCCTTTAATTTCAAATAATAACAGTTACGATAAACTATTTTCGTCAGATTATTCAAATGATAAATCGTACAAACAAGTCCTGCTTGTAAGAAAATAATATTATATTTTATACTTTACTTTTAACTCTGGAATCTTTGATAAACATGATAAGGGTAGTTTCAGTTGACTTGCCAGCTCCGGTGTCATTGTCTTTGGTACTTTTCCAGGATCTCCCATTTCACGGAAACGTTTAAATATTCTGAAATAAAATTAATTAACAATTTTAATTAATTGCTCTAATAAATATTAAATTGTTATAATTATAATGAATTAATTAATTTTTACCTGAGAATTTCTTTACGCGTTAAAAATGTGCAATCTTGGTATTCTTCTAATTGTTCTTCAGTGAAAGTTGCTATTTTATTTCCCATTGTTTGTGATTAATTTTAACTATTATTATCAATGTATTTCACTGGACAATTGTATTATAATCTTGAGTAAATACTAGGATAGAGAGATTCGTTATTTCTGGTGTCGTGAGAAATACTGAATTACGAACCAACAGAAGACCCGGTGTTCAATACTAAATAATTTCTAATAACTCAGGGTGTGCCTGGGCGCTCCCATGTGTAGCGAATATTTGTATTATTATTTATACAACTCAACAAAATTAATAATTTACTCTCCTCAGTATTTTATATATTAATATTACTATTGAGTTTCATGTTTTCAGTACAAGTACAAAAGTATAAAATACCATTTTACTAAATATTATATTACGTTTCGTGAATGAAATTTTTTTATTCTTGTTTATAAGGAATAAAAGAATTAAAATAAAATAAAAAAAAAAAAAATTCCTAAATCTGACCCTCATATTCAGCTATTGCGTGATATAAAAAAAAACAACCACACCTGTTCGTGCCCACGTTAAAAATTATTCTCACGCTAGTCGTGATTCAAATTTAAAAACCACCATTCGTTATTATGTATTCAAGCTTATCAACTATTTAGTTAGATAGGGATTTTATCCATTAGTTAATAATTAATAAATTAATGACTAAATGTATAAAGAAAAATTTATATAAAAATAAGTAGCTTAAAAAAATTATTTAAATTTAAAAGTATAAATTTTGTAAAAATAATTTTTTTTTCTGTATACCAGATTTAAGGTAGATGTCGTGGTTAAAGCATACCATTAGAAAATTCTAAATTTTTGTATACTTATTAAGGACATGATGATACAATTACCCTTAAAATATGAAGTTGATTGACTACCTATAACCCGAGATGAATTCAATTAATTAAGGGGGAACACCACTGTGACGATCGAAAAAAAGAGGTGATTTTCGGGAATTTTTTTGACAGGGAAAATAAAGGAATTTGGGGATCAGATTTTTTTTTATTTTATTAAGGGTACATTAAAGATTATTACCCTAAATTTTTATTAAGAAATATTTAATTATTACAAAGTTATTAACAATCTCGTAGACCACTAGAAAAAATTTCCCCCTCCATGGTCGGTTCGATAATTCAAAAACGGATCATCTGAAAATAAGAACCCAAATTGCTTTTTAATCAGTAAGAATGTAGTTATCGTCACACGTAGG